ATTTTTATGAAGCCATGCAGTTCGCGTGTTGGCGAGAGGCCATGCAACGTGAGATTGCGGCTTTGGAAGCCAACGGTACCTGGGAGCTTCAACCCCTGCCCCCTGGCAAGAAGGTAGTTGCTGCCAAGTGGGTTTTCAAAATAAAGTTTCGCCCGGATGGGACAATCGAGCGCTATAAGGCGCGTTTAGTAGCGAAGGGCTTCACGCAAATCGAAGGTGTCGACTATCACGACACGTTCGCTCCCGTCGCCAAGCTCGTCACTGTTCGGTGTGTTTTGGCTGTTTCTGCCCAAAAGGGTTGGTTTCTTCATCAGTTAGACGTCAACAACGCCTTCCTGCACGGCGATCTCGATGAAGAAGTTTACATGGCAGTTCCACCCGGATTTACTCGACCGGGGGACAACCGTGTATGTCGTCTTCGTAAATCCCTGTATGGATTGAAGCAGGCTTCCCGAAATTGGTTCAAGAAGTTCACTGAGTCTCTCCAGAGCTTTGGTTTTGTTCAATCTCTCGCGGATCACAGCCTGTTCACCTACAAGAATGGGAACTCGTTCACATTCGCGCTCATCTACGTTGATGACGTTGTTCTTGGTGGGAATGATCTTGACGTTATCCAACAGGTTAAAACTCATCTTCACCAGCAGTTTAGTATCAAGGACTTGGGTACCTTGAAGTATTTTTTGGGCATTGAAGTTGCCCGATCGCGTGCTGGGATTGTCTTGTCCCAACGTAAGTACACCTTGGATATACTCAAGGATGCCGGAGTTGAAGCAGTACGTCCTTGTGCCTTCCCCATAGAGCAGAATCATCACCTCACGTCTCTCGAAGGGCCTGCGGCAAAGGATCCTGCTGGTTATCTTCGTCTTGTTGGCAGGTTGATGTATTTGATGGTAACTCGACCCCAATCTCCTCGTGTGGAACACGAACTTGCAGCACATAGAGTCCTGCGTTACCTTAAAGGGGCTCCTGGGAAGGGCCTCTTCTTCCGCTCCAGTGGTGATCTTACCTTGCATGCGTATTGCGATGCAGATTGGGGTGGATGTCTACATAGTCGTCGGTCTACTACAGGTTACTTTGTCCGTTTGGGTGATAGCCCGGTATCTTGGAGAACCAAGAAGCAACAGGTTGTGGCCAGGTCATCAGCAGAAGCCGAGTGAGATAGTTTGGTTGGGTGGTTACTCCGAGAGCTTGGGGTGTCTCTTCCACAGCCAACTCCTTTGAACTGTGATAACCAGGCATCCCTACACATCGCTGCTAACCCGGTTTTTTACGAAAGGACGAAGCACGTGGAATTGGACTGTCATTTCGTTCGTGAGCGGATTACCTCAGGTGAAGTTGAGCCGCAGAAGATCCATACGGGCGAGCAGACAGCTGATGTCTTTACAAAGGGCTTGGGAGCTGAGCAGTTCGGTGTCCTCCGTAACAAGCTCGGACTGTATGACATTCACTCCTTCGCTTGAGGGGGAGTGTTGTCGGACGTGTGCATGCATGCCTAGTGCGACGTCGTTCTTGGCTGTGTGTGTTTTGTTTAGTTTGTGTGGTGATTGGTAATTATGTTTGGGCTAGTAGTCAGCCGAATAACCCTAGGAGAAAGTGACATAGGGTTATATATATGTGCTCTTGTAGCAGCCGAGCTGAGTATCGTGTGAAAGTATCAAACCCTAATAAAAGAACTGAAAGCTCCTTGTGTGAGCTTTCCGTGGATTAGTCTCGTTCTTCTGAACGAGGATACCACGTAAATCGGTGTCGTGTTATCAGTTTATTGTTGGGTTTTATCATAATTAGGGCATGGAGAGCTGGAAAAATTTCCTATGCAGGAAGGCTTGAACTGGTCTCCTCGATGCTTTATTCTCTTTTCCAATACTGGATGACCATTTTTGTGTTACCTAAGAAAATAATTGAACAGATTCAAAAGGTATGCTTGGATATCTTATGGTATGGTGAGGGTGTAGGGAAAGCAAAAGTCCTTTGGAAACTCTTGGCAACACCAAAAACGAAAGGAGGCATGGATCTGAGAGATCTTATAACATGAATGTCACTTGCATAGATTGCCTCATGTGGTTACGTTTCATGCAGAGAAGGAGATTCTGGCTAGCCTGGGTGCAGAGGTACAAATTGACTCTATATGGGAATTGAAACCTACCATGGATGGATCTTGGCCATGGAGGCAACTGCTTAAACTACAAGCCTAGTTTCAGTTTTGTATGACATTTGAGTATATTGAATAGAATTGCCATCCGGGACAAGCTTAAAGGTTGGGGGAAGATTACTGATGCTTTATGTGTACTTTGGGCAAAAGAGATGAAGAGTAGATCACAACTTTTCTGTCAATGTGAGTATACTGAGTAACTGATCTCAACGGTAATTGGTTCGTTGCTTGGAAGTTGGCCTCTATCTTTGGGAGTAGATGTTACAGAAGATGTGTGGAATTGCAAGAAGGGAGGCTGAACAAGTCATGTAGTCAATGCAATATGGTGTTGGATTTGTAGCCTGATGTGGAATGAAAGATGCAGGAGGGTATTTGCTGAACAGTCCAGGCAATGGGAACTGTTCAGCCTGTTTGGATACAATTCCGGAAGAAATGGAAATGGAAATGGAATTCAATTTTTTATTTTTATAGAATTCCATTTCCAATTCTAGTGTTTGGTATAATTCCTACAACTATGGAAATGAATTGCACTTTTAACCATAATGAATAATGTAATATGTTTGTTTTATTTTGGGAAATGAAATATGAATGAGAGAGAAAGAGAGTAAAATGATAGTGGGTCAACAAAATAATAAAAAGTATTGATGGGTCACTAATTGCATTTTCATTCTCTCAATTCCTATCACTTTTGATAGGAATTGTAATTCCCATATTTTAGACCCACTAGAATTCAATTCTCAACCTTTTTATTATTCCAAACATAATATATGGAAATGGAATTCCAATTCCTTACTTTTTTGTCAATCCAAACAGGCTGTAAATGAAGAAGTTGCTTTGTTAACTTTAGGCAAAGTTAAGTTTAAAGATGATTTGGAAAGTAACCATGTAATAGGAGAAGTATTTATGTACCGTGGCTTGACTATCTGTAGTGTGCTAATGTGAGATTGGGTGTCTGTGTTTTTTGTGAGGCTTGATCTAGTTGATCGAGTGTGCTTAATGGAAAAGCTAATTACCAGAAAAATGTTAATCGTGATTGATTCAATTAAATTATAAATATTTTTTTTTTTATAAATTTTGACTTACAACGTAATTTTTTTAATAGGTAGGTGTAAAGTGCATTATGTAAAATTGTCGCAAGCTCGAGTGTGAAGGTCACGAACGTGCAGCTTGAAAAGGAGAAAACGAAAACGATCACCACCGAGGCCTTTGGTGAAGAGATTCACAAGTTGAAGTTCAGCCCGCACCTTGACTGGAATGACGTGTGAAGTTGAACACGTTCACGAACAAAATGACAATCCATCTCCACATGTTTAGTACGCTCATGGAAGACTAGAGTGTTGGCAATATGCAGGGCCGCTTGATTGTCATAGTGGAGCGAGGTCGAGTGACTCTGAGGAACACCGAGCTCGCCAAGTAACCAACATAGCCATACAATCTCACTAACACTGCTGGCCATGGCACGATATTCAGCCTCTGCTGAGGAACGGGCCACTACCTTTTGTTGCTTCATGCGCCAAGAGATCGGTGCACCACCAAGACACACAAAATAACCAGTCGTCGAACGGCGAGTACTCTGACAACCGCCCCAGTCGGCATCACAATAAGCAGTAAGTCGGAGAGGATTATAAGGTGGGAAGAAGATTCCTTGGCCAGGACTGGACTTAAGATATCGCAGAACCCGGTGAGCAGCATCCAAGTGCATCTGACTGGGAGCATGAACAAATCAGCTGAGGATGTTGACAGTATAGGTGATATCCCGGCGAGTGATGGTGAGATAGAGTAGGCGACCAACCAGCCGCCGATACTGGGAAGGATCAGGCAAGAGATCGTCATCACTCGGCCATGTGAGCTGGTGGTTCTGCTCAACCGGGAAAGCACTAGGGCGAGAACCCTGAACACCAGCATCTTCCAGTATGTATAAAGCATACTTGCATTGACTGAGCACAACGCCGGTAGAGACACGGGCAACCTCAATGCCCAGGAAATAACGTAGGACTCCGAGGTCCTTGATACTAAAACGATCATCCACAAATCGCTTGACGCGAGAGATGAAAGGGAGATCATTCCCGACCAGGAGCACATCATCGACGTAAATGAGGGCAGTCACAAAGGTAGTCCCTCGCTGGTAGATGAACAAAGCAGCATATGCAGGAGAGGATCGAAAACCAAACTCGATCAAGACTGCAGTAAACTTGTAACTAAATTGTAAAATATCTTCTTGAGTACTTTTCCTTTATGTTGGGAGTTTTGTACTTACTCCACAACTTTGTACGTTGAAGATTATTCCTTGATCATAGTGGATTTACTAGCTTGTCCAACCTGTGGTTTTTCTCCCTCCTCTTTGGAGGATTTTTCACATAAATTTGGTGTCTTGTCTTTGTTCATTCTCTTCTCTATTTTTCTTGTTTGATATCATATTGGGTTTGCTTCTGTTAGTGCTCATTTATCCAGATTCAAAAGTCCTAAGAAAGACAACAGTAATTCGTACCTTTGATTTACTCTGGTTGAGATATAAATCACCGTATATAAACTAATTAGGAACAGACGCATATGCCTGCGTATACAGAAGGACAAGGACACAAAAAAGAACAAGAAAAGGAAAAGATAAAGATCGATCCAGAGAGGAGGAAAAACAGTTCACTCGCTCAGTACTAATCGCATAGTTCTTATTATTAAGCACACCAACGTGCGTAAAATTTGTAAAATAGTTTATCGAAATCCAAATTAATTAAGCACGTCCCTGAGGTACGAAGTTGGTGATCAGTTAACGATCTTATGGGCTCATGAGATAAACGTCTAAAGTAATGAATCCCTCTGCTATAGCATCTTGGAACATGTTCAAATTGAGACCGCCATTGAAATCAGAATCGTAGGTCAAGGTCCATACGATGGTCGAACCTGGACGGTTAGGACCATGGTTCAGCGACAGCGGTTCGACCTTTATGACCAAGGAGGCCGAACGAAAGAACCTGCCAACGAAGGCACCATCGGGCTTGAACCTAGATTCAATGGTTCGACTCGTGTGGTCAATCCGGGTGATTTCCTCGGTCGCCCGTGAAACCATACGTGAGATGGCTGCATCATATATATAGATAATAATTAATTGCATGTTTATAATAATTAAAAATGATTAATAAGTACTTACCATGTCCATAAGCGATCTCCCGAATCGAACCGGGTGTAACACCGTCTCGGTTGGTCACCCGGATGGCTTGATACTGCTCATGCATGACCGCCGGGTACACAAATGTGCCACCGCAAATCGCTGTAAACACATCGTCGGCCGACGAAGCCATCCGGATTCTTCTACTACTGTCGATTGACATCGTCGGAGAATCGTACGAGCTTGGAATGGATAGAGAATAGAATGGATTTCAACCCATCATCCCTGCCGTTTATATATACTCGATGATCCTATCTTTGAAGCTTCCTTTTAATTTCCGATCGGCCATTGACCTGATAAACAAAGACTCATCATTCCCCTTATAATTAATTATATGCATATTCATCAAGCAAAACGAAACGAAAAGAGGCTCCATTTCCTGTATTAGTCAAAATATTCAAACTAATATAGTTGTTAAAAAGTTTTCAAATGACCTTTGTGCTCGGTTGGTGGATCCAAAATCAATCTGGCCAATAAACAATTTGTTCAACATTAAAATTTAAAGGACTGTATATTTTTCATTTTAAATTAGAATTCAATTCTTTATGGAAAAAAAATATATTAATCATGTTTACCAAAATGACATCAACTTTGAAGGGGAAAAAAAGTATATTGTGTAGAGCAAGATTGTCAAACCCTTCTCCTGCCATCGATTCAACCCGTTAAATTTGGCTCGCGTAAATTTTTGTGTGTGTTTCTATGCGTGCCTGGAGTCCAACAACTATGTATAGTGATTCAACAAATAGGGACCATAGCGATAGAAATCCTTCAAATTTCTGTTATAGGGGGCGCCAATTCTTGAGGGGGTCGTTCTGCTTCCAAAACTCGACCACTTTCTTGTGCATGAACCTTTCACTAACCAAGAGAAAGTCAAAAAGTTTTAAAAGAAAAAGGTTTGCTCAAGTTATTGAGTATATGAGTGGTATACTACTGATTCAACTGATCAAAGGACGTCTCCTCCTAGAAAGAAGAGAGGAAAGAAGCAGCTGCTTGCTGCTCTTAACTCTAACCCTCTGTTTATCGAAGGTTCGGAAGTCGAGAGAAACTCCTCTCCCTCTAAATCCCCGTCACCATGAGGTATGACCAAACGAACTCTCTATGAGTACACCAGGCATCAAACTGCGAACATGGTTCCAGCTTTGTCAATAAGACCCATGCAAGTAGGGGTGTACAAACGGATTGGTTACCGTGGTAACCATATTAACCAGTAGCATTCGGTAATTTGGTTTGGTTAATTTGGGGAATTGGTTTGGTTTGGTTGAACAATTTAGCTTATTTGATTTAGGTGGTTTGGTTTAGTTTCAACGCTGCTAACCAATGAAACCAATTGACCAATTAACTTGAGGGTGCTGGATGGACGACCTCATGTCCGCGGCTTTGGCGGTCCAGTAATATCCCATGGTGTGCTCATCCGGGACAACCACATCGTTGTTTTGAGGCTCACCCATGTCTCCCTCCTGGTTGATCTGCAACTGTGCTAGATCCTCCTCCACAGCCAGTCGTGCCTTTAAAGCTCGCTTGAAGTTCCTACAAGTCCGTTCAAACTCTTGGTCTAACGGTAGTAAGTCGCCTGACTAACTACGGGTCATGCACTACACCCCTGCACACAAAATGCAAACACAACCCGTGAAGGCACAAAGGTGGAAAAGAGAGAATGCAGTAAAGAAAAAGCTAGAATAACAAACTTTCACGTTTCCACAATAACTTAATCAGATTCTATCTATCTCAAGTTGTAGCAGAAATCAATACAAGAGAATCAGGCTTCAATTGACTCAATCAAAACATTTCAATTGATTATAATCCAGCAGTATCACAATCCAAACCTCATTACAATCGATATCCCTAACACATGGAACTAGGGTGCTTCATATACAAGTCAGAGAGGGTTCTACTCCATAGAGAGAGAGAGAGTAAAACAGAATATAAAGCATTCATACTCATCAAGATGGGAACAATTTGCTATGGGATGATAATCTTCACCCCAAGGATGAAATCCAAGCTTGATTGATGAAACCCAACTCCAAAATCACCTCTAGGGTGTGTTATTCGCACTTTCTCTCTCTAAGACTCTGTTTCTAGCTCTGAAAATCAATACCCCTTCAAAAGACCCGAAATTGGGTTAGAACCCAGAATTCTGGGACTACACGGCCAGACCACACTACCGTGTAGAATGGCCAGCTACCCGTATGTAAGTATAAAACGTCGTGTTTCACTTAAATGCCTTTATGCACGCTACACGGCCAGGACCGCACGGTCGTGTGAAATCATGGCCTGCCTGTGTGAGCTCTCTGGGAATTTCACACAGCCACAAAGGAACCTTTACACTACCAATGTGGTTTGCCCGAGCAAAGGGGTTCCAGACGGCCACGTCACACGTGGTATTTAGGTCTGGTCGTGTGGTTTCCCCAGCTTTTCGTCAATCGTTCCAACTTCGTCCAATCGACCCTGAACTCGTGCCCAAACCTTCCTTCACGTACTAGGAACTGAAATATCACAAACAAGAATAACCTAATATGACACCGTACTAAAACACGAGAGATGAGACTCAAACGGTAGAGGAATGATGGACAAAATCATGTGTATATATCAAGTCATCATATATATGGGGAGTTCTATGGTACCCAGGGTATAATCCAGGGTACCACATACCCTGAGTATGAAAACGCTATTCAGACCATGAATTGACTGATCTTTGGGACATAATACTATACTCTAACCCTTAAAGATCAAAATCTAGGTCTTAGTTCTCTAAATCTAATACTCCAAGATTAATTTAATTAGCATAATAATTGACGATTACGATTCGTCTAAATAAATGCCAAAAATGAATGCACCATCTTAGGGTATATAGTTTATAATTTAGATAATTCACTACAGGAAAAGAGACTTTTCGCAACATGTAAACTGTGTTGCATAAACTGTGAAAAGTGTTGCATATATAATATGCAACACTTTTGGTAGTGTCCTCTATAGGTGGTGTTGTATAAAGTCATAGGTAACATTTTTTTCATTTTTCACAACACAAAAAATATATGTTGCATATGCATATTACTTATGCAACACCAGTTTAGGTAACACTTCAAAAACTTTATACAACACTTTTAACGAGTACAAGTTACATGTGTACACTTTATTCGTGACGGGTTTTTTTCGTTTATAAGACAAATCAAATAGTGACAACTTTTCCTGGTAACAAAACATTATACATTTGTGACAAAATTGACCTGAGTAAAACTAGCTTTTGTGACAAGTTGACACCGACATCAAATATATACCACATGTCACAACTTCAATTTTGTCACGAGCATATCACTTTTGTGACAAAATTATAATCACATATGCAATAGCATTAGTGACAAATTTTTTTGGTTACAAGCATTATATACTTTTAGCAATTGTTTTTTCATCATTAAAGTATTTGTAATGGTGATATTTATCACATTCGAACAAAATCAATGAGGATTTCATATTATACGAAATATTACATAAAATCCCAAGATTAATTTACTGCCAAAACTACTTACACATATGTGCTAAAAGCCTAAAGCTATGAATACATACAAATATGTTATTCCTAAGCTATACAAAATCATATATAATATTAGGAATTAGGGTTCACTTATTAAGGGTTAGGGTATAGTATCAGGTTCAAAAATCCTGCTAATTCGAGGTCTAGATAACATTTTCATACTCAAGGTATGTGGTACCCTAGATTTCACCCGGGGTACCGTAGAAGGCACTCATATATATATATATATATATATATACTCGATCATCCTCTCCATGAAGCTTCCTTTTAATTTTCGATCGGCCATTGACCTGATAAAACAAAGACTCTATTTCCTTATAATTAATTATATGCATATTCATCAAGAAAAACGAAAAAAAGAAAACGAGGAAAAGAGGACAATATATTTCAATGAAAAAATATTAATCATGATTTATCGGAATGACATCCATTTGAATGAAAGCAAAAGTATATTGTGTAGAGCAAGATTGTTCAACCCTTATCCTGCCATCGATTCAACCGGGTCCAACAGTAACCGGCCATCTAAACGACTTGAATACACACAAGTTTTGGAGTTTTCGGAAAATATCAAAATCGGGTTCAACCAGTTAAATTTGGCTCGGGTAAATTTGTGTGTGTGTGTTTATGTTCGGGGTTGGAGTCCAAGGACTAGGTATAGTGATTCAACAAATAGCGACCATAGGTGGCGCCAATTTTGAGGGGGTCGTTCTGCTTCCAAAACTCGACCTCTTTCCTGTGCATGAACCCTTCACTGCTCTTAACTCTAACCCTCTGTTCATCGAAGGTTCGAAAGTCGAAAAAAACTACTCTCCCTCTAAATCACCGTCACCATGAGGTATGAGCAAACGAACTCTCTATTAGTACATGAGGCCTCAAGCTGCGAACCTTGGTTGCATCTTCGTCCATAAGACCCATGCAAGAGCCCCAAAGTTAATCTGCTAACTTGAAAATTCGTTAGCAGATACTAACTGATATTCAAAATACATGAACTAGTATCCAAGTACTAAAGTATCTAGAGAGCACAGACTAGTATTCAAAGTTTGCTAACTGATATCCACCATGAATCAACTATTATCCCAAATTCACAAACTAATATCTAGACAACACAGAATAGTATCCATATAACACATAATTAGTATCCCGATAACACTTAAGAGTATCCAGATAACACATAAGAGTATCCATATTAAATACTAGTTGGTTGATTGTGGATATTAGTTGGTATCTGCTATCTGGATACTAGTTTGTGATGTTTTGAATACTAGTATGTGTTATCTAGATACTCAGCAGACTTGGATATTAGTTCATATATTTTGGATATTAGTTAGTATATACTAACGAATTTTCAAGTTAGCAGAATAACTAGGCTGATGCAAGAGGAGCATGAGACACATAAATTGGATTGTGTGCAAGAAAACTTGAGATGACTGATGTGTTGTCTCATTTGAGAAACTAGAGTCATATAGTACATTGATAGCTTGTTTGGTTTAATTCATGGAATTGACAATAGATACACGTGTATATATATATATATATTTTTTTTACATTGCAATCCTATAGGGCATAGTACATAGATTCAATAGCAAAACCATCTTCAACCAGAATGCTCAGGTATGTCAGTTGTCAAGAAAAATTCATGTCATGATTGTTCTTTCCAACTTATTCTTGTCTCCCCGTCAAATCGAGGAATTGTTTGTTAAAAAGAAAAGGAAAAAAAACGAAACCAAGCCAAAAAGTATTGAGATCTGAGAGCATAGACCGATGGAAAAGAAAGAAGTCTATTGGCTAGTAGTTGCGATCCATTTGAATATGTTCTCATTTTCGGCGAGTTCATACTACATGAATATATTTGATATTTACCAAATAGTGAGTTAGAATTCGATCCAGAACATAATATTACAAAGACTTGTTTGTTAAAAAGAACTGAAGTCTTTCTTAATTCTTCGTATATCCAATCAAATAAGAAGGCCAGAAGAAAACAACTTCGCTGGTTGTTGTAGAGTTGTCGTTATATATGCACTGGATGAACAAAATAATACTACAGTCTATATACCAAATATTGATTGGTTTACTAATTCAAACTTGGTTCCTTGCAAATGAAATTACCGGGAACTTCATTGATGCAATTTTGATATTTTTGTTGACGTTATGCGGGCGGGAGGGTGGTCGGATATGGTCACTCTAAGGTTATATATATAGATATATATATGGCATCCACACACTAGGCCATCAAGTAATCCAAAAACCCTAATCTCCGACCATCTCCAGAAGAGAATATTAATTAGCTAACTAGGTAATTAAGCATGGTTCGTCTCTTTGATTTCAAATCAGACAAGCACTTCGTTGCTTCCTCTGACAAAACTACCCTCAAAGTCTACGAGTTGAGCAACCCTAGCATTTACCCTTCTTACATCCGAAAGGCTCACTGGAAAGAAGTCGGCAACATCATTCCCCGTGATCACGATGACAGTGATGAAGGAACGAATGAGTCATTATCCTACGACGGGCTGATGTTCTTCGACGGCCAGGCAGAGATCAAGGGAAGGGAGGCCCAGACCAAGCTGGCCCAGCACCTCGCTCGGCTGCGACTGATGGTGAGCCCACAAGGGCACTGTTTCCAGGATGTCACCGAACTGGGGGAACACAAAGACTTTGGAATTCACTATCTCCGACTGAACGATCGTTTCAACTGGCCCTTTCACGGGGTCAGCATGGCGGGCCTCACCACGTGGCCACGCTGCCTGTTGAAATACACCATGCCGAGTAGGGAGAAGCAGCATGCCACGACGGCGACGACAGGAGGGGTGAGCAAGGAGAAGTACGAGGAGTTGAAGAGAACGGTGAAAAAGAAGGAGGAGGACATGGAGAAACTGAGGGAGGAGATGGAGGAACAGGACGAGGAGCTTCAGAAGCTGAAGGAGGAGATGGAGGGGGCGAGCGAAAAGCACGAGGCGGAGCTACGAGAGCTGGAGACGAAGAAGGACGAGGAGCTGCGAAGGCTGACGAAGAAAAAGAACGACGAACTCGATATGCTGAGGAAAGAGAAGGCCGAACACGACGAGCTGGAGCAGCAACGTCGCAAGCAATCGTGGGCGATAACAGCCACGACACGATACTTTTCGAACGACACGATTCTCAAGAGCAGAAGGCAGCCGGTGCCGCTGGATACGTGGACGGGTCTTCTGAGGCGCACGCCATATTTCTCCCATTGGGATACTACTTTCAAGTACGAGCCGTACGCCATTGGCGCCTCCACGTGGTTCCCGACGACAATGGTGCAACTGGTGGATGAGGAGCCTAGAGATTGGAAGCCTCCGCCTAAGATTTATCTCTTCTCTTCGGGCTTCGGGGCATTCGATACGCAGAACTGGTGGTTCGTGAAGACGACCCACCCGGACGGCGGCGTGACGATGATTGCTTACTATGACGGCAACCGCACCTGGTTCGATGGGCTCGGGTACCCTACCCCGCTTCCTGTTGCTAGGACACATCGTTTTGATACCAACACGCCATTCTTCTTTGTTTATGTGGTTGACAGATACAAGCTTGCGTTCATGTACCGAGACTAGTTTAGCGAGGGTGATCGTTCGTGCGCACGCTGCTAGCCGCCGAGTTTTCGGTTTGTTTCACTTTGATTTGCAATATATGTTAAGAATAATTATTTAATATTTTCTTAGTCTTATATGTAATCTTATAAAAAAATTGTAATGTTTTCTTAGTCTTGTTTGTAATGTTTTTTAAAATCGGTTTTTAATATTAGTGATTCACGTTCATTATATTTGTCAATCCGTTTATAATAATGGCAAAATACAACTGTGTAGCTAAAATATTGACGGTTTGGTCAAATATAGTCATTTTTGGCGAAATAGAAAAAAGAGCTGGGTCTCGTACTCTATGTAGGTCAAATAGCTAGTCCTACTTTAGAGGACTCGGGTGCTTCAATCTGTACTCGAATTTTCGCCTTTGCTTGACAATTTCGGCGATCTCCCGGGGGGTGAACGGCCCTCGACGCTCTAGGTCATCGAGAAGAAGAAGAGATGGAGAGAGGTGGGAAGACAGAGCATATGAGATTGGGAAGGGGATGGGGTTTTTTATCTTTTTTTTTTTTAGATTTAGGTAGAGTTAAAAAAAAAATACTTTTGTAAATGACGTGTCATCCACCTGTCGCTGAATGTTGAGGTGGAAATGATAGAGAGTGTGTGTTGGTGGACAGGTAAGCTTTCCGTTAATTTGACTAACGGTATCATCAAATTTTTAAAATTCTGTGTATTATTGATATTTTCTCAAAAGTGGCTATTATTGCCACAAATGTCAAAGTTTTGGCTACACATATAATAATAATAATAAATTTGGTTTATAATGTTTGTAAGAATAACTTGTAAATACTAATGACTTGTAATGTTTCTTTTTTTTTTTTTTTTTGATACCCAGGAACCTCAGCCCCACGTGCCACTTTGTGACAGCGGGTCCTACTAAACCTGGGGGCCACCTGCATTTAATTTGACGCCAACGGGGCTTCGCCCCCAGCAGCCTTGTACCTCCGGGAACACCAACGGGCCTCGCTTGGATTCGAACCTGGGATCTGCAACTCCCAAGCCTTCACTGTTGCGGCAGCTTACTGTAGGGGTCGTTGCGCCTGACATTATTGATGAAGTTCACCTGCTCCTGGGTGTGGTTGATTCCTTCATCGCCTGGAATCATCCCGGAACGATCGATAGCTGAAACCAGCTTCGATACTACCTGCACCAAATCAGAGGGATGGGCTCCCACAGAATGTACACCTCGGCTGGGTGCTCTCCTCGAACCTCCCTAGCAGTGCCCCAATCATACCCGTTCTCCGCCATCTCTTCAAAGAGTGATTCAGCTGTGGCGGTGTTTTGGTCAGCATGTTCCCGCCACAAACTGAGTCAATCAGCTGCTTGTCCTCCGGGAAGAGGGCGTGATAGAAAGTGCCCACCTTGAAGGCATCATTGAAGCCATGATTTGGGCACCTCAGGAAGAGACTGTTGTATCTCTCCCAAGCATCCCTGATGGTCTCATCCTCATCCTGAGCAAAATGTGTGATTTGCTTCTGCAGGTCAGCTGTCTTGGATGGAGAATGGTAGCGGTGTGAGGAACTTGTCCGCCAGGTTGGTGAACGTGGTGATGGAGCCCGGAGGTCGAGTGTCTAGCCACTCCTTGGCCTGCCCCTCCAGACGTGAATGGGAAGTACCTCAGCTGGATGGCATCTGCTGGTACCCCATTAATCTTGATTCCATCGATGAGCTCGTGGAATCGCCTGAGATGTGATCGGGGGCACTCTCCCTCCTTACCACGAAAACACCACTGAACCGCGCAGCATAGTGATTACTGATGTGCTCACCTCAAAATTGTTGGCTGGGACATGAGGGTGTTGAATGGGTGACCTCATATCCGCAGCTCTAGCGGTCCAGTAGGATCCCATGGTCCTGCTCCTCTGGGTTAATCACATCATGGTTCTGTGGTTCGGCCATCTCTTCTTCTTCTTCTTCTAACTGCAGCTGTGATAGCTCCTCCTCCGCAGCCAGTCGCGCCTTTAGAGCCCGCTTGAAGTTCCTGCAAGTTTGTTCAAGCTCCTGGTCCAATGGTAGTAGTTCTCCCGACTGGCTACGGGTCCATGCACTACCCTGCACACAATCGGCAGAAGCAACCCGTGAAGGCACACAGGTGGAAGAGAAAAATGCAATAATAGAAAAAACTAGAGTAACAATTCTCACGTTTCCCCAATAACTAGAGGGGTCCCCGGCAACGGCGCCAAAAACTTGACACACCACCAAAAACAACACCAAACTGCGACCAAGTGTAATCGCAGTCCGGGAATGCAGTAACAGGCAAGTTATATTATCAACCCGGGGTCTAGATCTACTGCTTACTCCGTGATTGTCTATTATCTAGCAAACCTAATTCGAGTGATTGTTGTTTAAGCTAAAGCCGTAAGAAAGCAGGTAATAATTCGGTTTTTCAAAGTCAGGAAAGAGTCACTCGGGATTGAGTCCCCCTAGCCCCTTAGTTAGGTCCAATTGTAATTCCCCTGGGTTGATTCACTGTTGATTAGACTGCGGAAGTTCCGACAGTAGCTTGGAATCTCTTAAGCTGACCAAGCCCTCTCAGTCTAACTACCCGGCAGACGACTAGTCTTCACCGGGATAGAAAGCTGAGGCTATGAACACAGAACTCCACTACTGGAATTGAATTCCAGTACAAAGCAGTAAACTGGCTAACTCTCGTATAGCCAATCTCCTACTATCGAATGAAGAGGCTCTAACAACCTAATCATATTCTATCTATCTCAGGTTGCAGCAGAAATCGAGAAAAGCTGATCAGACTCCAATCAATTCAATAAACATGCATCATTCGATTAAAATCAAACAGTAATATCATCCCAAGTTATTACAATCAAATCCCTAACACAAGGAACTAGGGTTCTTCATACCCAAATGAGAGAAGGGTTCTACTCCATAGAGAGAGAAGAGAAAACAGTAATCGGAGTAGTCATACTCATAATGATGAGGAAAATCTGCTCCGGGATGATGATTTCCACTCCTATGACGATCTCCAAGCTCGATTAAGTGAAACCCAGCTCCAAGATAGCTTCTAGGATGTGTTCTTCGCACTTTCTCTCTTTAGGGCTCTGTTTTTGCTCTGAAAATCCGATTCCCTCACTTTTGGCTCGAAATTGGCTCAAAAAACAGAATTCCCACGACTCACACACGGGCAGGCCACACGGCCGTGTGGATCACCCAACTAGCCGTGCGAGTCAAAATGCACCGTCCCATTAAGTCGATCTTCAAGCCATCATCACACGGCCAGGGTTGCACGGCCGTGTGGATTTCCTGGGTAGCCCGTGCGTGGTCTCGGCAAAAATCACACGGCCACTTTGCTCACTGGCACGGTCGTGTGAAAGCCAGGGTTGCCCGTGCTTGCTCTCCCACAATCCACACGGCCTGGCTTGTCACTTGCACGGCCGTGTGATGCCACGGTCATGCCTGTGCAGCTTCCTTAGAACCTCGCCATGCGTCCGATCCTCGTCCAATCGACCCCAAACTCGCTCCCAAGCCTCCATTCACGTACTAGGACCTGAAATATCACAAACAGCACAACCTAGTGTGAAATCGGCCTAAAAAACGAGAATCAACACCTCAAACGGTGTAAGAACGGGGGTAAAAACATGTGTAACTAACGGTCTATCACCCAGCCCATCATGATCTATTGGATCTACAAATTTCTGGGTGAACAAATTACAAGACAAAAAATACCACACAATACCATACAATACCACCCTGGTACGGGGTGGTATCTTATGGTATCTTATGGTATACAATGTTAAAAGTCGTAAATGACAATTAATATACTTCTACTATCATGTATTCAACCATCCTACAGTTTTGGTTTGTGTCATACCACCATAGTACGCTTTTCAACCATAAGTATGCTCTTATTTCAATACCAGTCAATACCATATGGTATAGACTGTATAAAATGGCTCAATTTTTTTGTTCGAAAAATATATCAAAGTGGATATCATTTTGAAGAGCATAATTAATCTGATCTAACTGTGGCAAAAAAATTAAATTTCGACTTAAAACGAGTGAGAAATCGTCCGTCAAAGATTAAGGAGGTGAAAATTAAATGCTTTCGAGGAGAGAGAGGATGCTGAATGTCATGCTGATGTGGGCGGGTTACTCATAGTTACTCACCATAAGGTTACTAACCTGATCCGTTCCCCTGGCAGAATGGCTCCGCTTAATTCATTCATTTAGCCATGGTCAGGGCACTCGACGCAAAAGGGCTGTCGTTATATTATAATTTTCTTGTAGTGGCTACTGCGGGTCGGGGCTGGTCGACCCACTCTTACTTGTTATTTGAAAAAAATACGCGTAAATTTTACTTTTTACCATAAAACGAAGGGAAAAAACACTTCAAACTTGAAAAATGGTGATCATATAATGGGTAATTGAGTCTAACAAGTTGAAAAATAGACTCAACTAGTTGAAGAAAAGTTAAAATAGGAGAAATATGTATAGATAATGTAAGAAATTGAGATAAATGGGTCTAGAACGGGACTGGACGGGGTATTATGCGCACCACAAGAAAATGCACATACAACTATGGATTTTTGTGGCTAAAGTATAAGATTTTGGTAGCTAAATGTTTAGCTACAAAAAATCAATTTGTAGCTTGCGTAACAAAAAGGAGATTTATTACTCAATTCTGAATCAACTCATTGGTTGATGAAGCGGGAACGAAAAAATCTTCACCAATGACTAAAGGAACTAGAATTTATTGTAGTCATTCAATCTAGAAGCTCCAGCCAAAGTGGCCATCTAACAACAACATTCATCTTGAAAGGCATACAAGAATTTCTCACCCTTCAATCTTGGCTCAACACCTTTCCTTTTTGGTTTGGTTTTATTGGATGTTTATTTCTCTTATAATTCTAAGTTGACGTGTTCTTGTTTATTTAGTATGGTCAGGTTTAGCTACAAAATGCAAAACTACAAAGCCCTACAATCTTTTACAAGAGTGGGTGATTCACAGAAATGGTAAGACA